TCTTCAGGGAATGTCTGGACTGATTCATCTGTTTTCTCCTTCTAGTTGCAGGATTCATTGACTCCTTGATTTATCACTCAGCACGTGCCATCCAGAAGAAAATTGAACTTGGGAAAACAACATAAATAAGCAATGACCTCACTTCACAAAAAAAAAAAACAAACCTCTTAAGGAGAGCTGAACAGATTTTTTTGTTTTTTTCAAAATACAAGTGATCGTGTGTGTGTACAAGTAAGGAGGTTTGGAATTACGAGATGGCCCCAACCACTCTTACGTTACTGTCTCATCATTCTTTGTTTGCCATTGGTTTGTGGATGGAACGGCCTGAACCTTGCTGCTGCAGAGATGCATTAGCCATCTTGTGTGGCTGTACAGACCCTGTTGTACCACCCCTTTTCTGTCTGTCCGTGTTCATCAAATTTACCTCCCAAGAGCTGCTGCAGATACTGCATGGTGATAGTCTCCAGGAATAAGGTACTATGTTGTCATGAAACCTGGAACCGATTGAAGTTACCATGAAAAAATCTTTCTGGCAACACCATCTATCTGTTCTCTTTTTTTTTTTTTTCTGTTTGTTAAAAAGGATTCTGAGCGCACTTCTGCGTGTGCCAGATCTCTGTGAAAATGTGCTGGATCCCTCATGCTTTTCTATCGACAGGGCTGAGTGCTGTGGCAAGAGCTGGCACACAAGATGTGCCTACAGCACCATGGGGCAGTTCTCTGGCCGCTCCAAATCACTCTTTATGAAAGATACAAGTTGATGTTTCAGTAAAAAACAAAACCAAACAAACTCCACCACTTGTAATTTTAATTAATTTTTAAATTGGATCATGTTTTTCACTTCCTGTGTCTATTTTGTAATAAAGTTAAACCTCTGCGGGTTTTGGTCAAGCATTAGAAGAACGATTAAACTAATTTATTTCAATCACTGGTACTAACTTGGTACTGACCTGTGGTGTGGCAAAATTTATAGGTATGTCATGATGCTGAAGGTTTTTTTTTTTTTTTTTTCTTTTGAATGCTCTACACAAATGAGTAAAGGGCTTGGTGCTGAGGCTGGCAGAAGACATTACACTATAAAAAAACAGAAGACAGAGAGCAAAAAGAAAAAAAAAGTGAATCGCTGTCTCATTCTGGGCAAAACAGAGTCATTGGTGTGGAAATTCAGCTCTGGTTTAGTTGAGTTTCTTGTATTTGCTCTAAACCTGGAGCAATTGAACCAGTTTGGCATTTGTGGCACAGAGACAAGCAAGCATCAAATGATGCAGAGAGGAAGTCATTTTTAAAACTTTGAGAATAAATGTACTTAATTTGAAAGTAATTTGAAAGTAGTATTTGTTTAATTGTTTGAATTTATCTTCAAAACAGCAAGTATACAAGTTTTCAAGCAGAGAGAGAAGCAATTTGAGTTGTGGGTAAAGAGATTGACTTATCTCCTAGAACAAAGAAAAGAAAGTGTTTATAAAAAGTACTTTTGCAAAAAGGGTGTTTAATAAATCCACCAGGTGATCCTGACTACTCCGGTTTGAGGAAAGCATTTAGTGTCTATTGTAAGGAGCAAGAAGTTGTCCGAACAGTTCCAGCCCTTTGTCACACAGCAGAGAACACAGCTTTATAATTAAATTTTCAAGAATAACAAACATTGTGAAGATCATGGGAATAATGTACTGAGGGTTTCACCCGCAGTTCGGCAGTTTCCATCGTGACACTGAAGGCCACTCAGCACTTGGAGAAAAGAAAGGAAGGACGGAAGGATAAGCACAAGAATTGCAAGCTCTGGAGAAGAACTGGATAAGAAGGAAGCGAGGGCTGGCTGTTGGGAAAGGAAATTCCCAGAGCAGGCAAAGGGCAGCTTAATCTTACTTATTTTTTTCCGTATGAAGTGCTCACAGAGCCTTAAAGGGGAAACAGAAAACTCATCCAGCCATGAAGATTCTACCTGAAGAGGCAGAAATGAGATGGAATAGTTCATACAGGGAGTAATAGGGATTTTTTTTTTTTAACTTACAAGATGGGAGCTTTTAAGTAAGAAAGAGATCTGGGGAATTTAATAGACTGCCTGAAAGATGTAAGTTGCTAATGTGTGTGGCGAAAAGCTCGGTGTGGTTCAAGGACATTTCACGTTTGCAATTTAAAGCAGGAAGCTGCAAGCTGCTGCCGTGGTAATTCCATCCCCCTGAGAGAATGGGATCGTGGCTGTCCGGGTCGTCCCATGGCAGGCAGGTTGCTCAGAGCACAGCGGAAAGGCTGTTTTCTTGAATTTTGCGGGCAAAGGCAGAAGGTGCCATCTGATGTGTCAGCCAGGCACCTTTTGCGAGTGGTTTTTGTGGAGGGGATCAGTGTTTGCAAAAGAGCATTGCCCGGAAAGCAGCTCCCTTCCTCTCTGCTCCTCGTGAGGATGGCAGAGCTGTCAGGTAAACCTGCCTTGCTCTGAGCAGAAAAACTCCTTTGGGGCTCCATGGTGTGGAATCCCTTTGTACTGACTGGGCCTGAGGCAGATCATACTGCCTTTTCCAAACAGAAAGAGCAGGAGTGAATAAAATGAACATTAACAAGGGCTTGGTTCACACCAAGTTTCCAAATTTATTCAGCCTAAGATGCTTTCAACAGTAATTCTGCCATCCTCCCACTTTTGCACGCTTGATTTTTCCTCTCTTACTGTTCCTTGTTATTGTTTAAAAGTACTTCCCTGGTTACAGAAAAACAGGAACCGAAACTGCCCCTCCCTCTGCCTGCCTGGTGACCCCAACGTCGCTGGGGGTGGAAGCTCCGGCCCCGTCACCCACAGGGCGCGGGCAGTGGGCTGGGGGCAGAGCTGGTTTTGGGGGTTGCCACAGGTTGTCACGTGGAGCCATGCGAAGGGCCATGCAGGGCAGCTCGCAGCCTCCGTCGTGTCCCCAGGCCCTCCTAGCCGCAACAACCCGGCATAGGGCTGAGGGCTGTGGTGGCAGCACCGGCGGGAGAGGCGAGTGAAGGGGCTGGTGCAGCTGCCAGCAGGTGTCTGCCAGGTCTGGTGCTACCACCCTGGCTTTAGTTTCTTGGGAATAGGTCATTCGTAGAAAAAAATCCTGCCTTCAGCTGCAAGTTTCTTGATGAGGCTGAATTCAATATCAGCGTCATGGACCTTTGTCCGGCGGAAGGCTCCTGAGTAGCGGTTTTCTTCCCAGTAGTGATGCCAATTCCCTTGGGGATCTGCTCCAAAGCCAAACACAGACACCTGCACGCACATCAACAAGAACAGCCGTGAAATGGGCACACCATCCGCAAGGCACAGCAGGACCTGCCCTTTACCAAATCTTGTTTTGTGCAGCTTCTGGTCTGCTGGGGCTGGAGTGGGAGAAGTGATCGCTTGGCACAAAGCGCAAGGCCCTGGAGCGTTTACCCGTGATGGGGTTGCTCCCAGCCCCAGCTGGTCAGGAGGGAGCTGCGAGTTTGGTGCAGATTTTGGGGGAAACGAGTGAGGCAGCAGGGGCAGCAGCTCCTCGGAGGAACATCCCAGCCCTCCTGCAGGGTTGCCGCACTGGGGGAGACAGGAGAAAGCTCAACTCGCAGCCTATTGTGGTGGCCACCTCCTGCCACCACTGGAGACATGGGGTGGAGAACTCAGCAGCTGTGCTGCCTGCAGGGCGTTTCTCTTTGCATAGTGTTGTTACCCCACGCAGCAGCATTCACCTGTCGGTAACGTACGTGGGCACCAACAGGAGGAGGGCTGTGGCCACAGGGACTTGTAGGATTTGCCAAAATTTGGCTGAACAAACCCCTGAGCAACCTGTCTTGATGTTAGCCCCGGCGTGAGCAGAGACTAGAAACACTCCCTTCTGTGCTTTGTACCTGCAGAGGGCGCAAGGCTGAGCCCAAAGCACCTTACAGAGCCCACGAGGCCACAGGGCAGCACATGGCGGTGACACAGCTGCGCCCTGGCTGCACTCACCTGCTGGCAGGAGTGCAAAGCGAAGAGCAGCGCAGTGAAGCCCGTGGAGGGGTACTTCCCATGGTGCTGCATCCAGTTGTCATGGATGTATTTGAGGAAAGCCGGGCTCAGCACCCGCACCTGAGCAGGGCAGCAGAGCACAGCCCCAGCAGTTAGTTTAGGTGCTACAAACAGGACAGCCAACCCCTGCCACCACCCAGGTGATGCCGGAGCAGACCTCAGCCTTCCCGGCTCCTCTATTCCACATCCCACAAGCTGCTGCCTGCCCGAGGGCCCAGCCCAGCCTCTGGCTGAGGGAGCCCTGCCTGCCCCAGTGCTGGCCGGGGCAGCAGGCTCCTTTTAGCGTGCACCACCTTACAGCCATGTGAATTCACTGGTGGCCACCAGCCCCTTCTTCCCCATTGCCTCAACAGCTCCAGCGCATGGTGCAACTGGGCACCCACCCATGCCAGCCCAAGCCCCAACCAAGGACTGCAGGTAGAGGTGCTCCCCTGAAGTCCATCCAGCTCTCACCTTGCTTCTGTCAGCTTTGATGAACTGTTTGACTCTCATGTATGTGCTGAAAAAGTGACAGGACATTGGTGAGCAGGAGGCCAACCTGCACCATCATCAGAGGAAAGCAGCTTCCCTGTGGACCTTTCCTTCAGAGGTGCATGGTCTTTAGAGAACTGCTATGATGACCAGCTCCATGGCACATGGCAAGCCCACAACCTGCCAAACCTGCCCAACAGTGTGGTCATGACCTGGTCTGGGTTCTGAAGGCTCCAGCAGTGTTTGAGGGATGACAGAGCCCTGCAGCGCACTCCCTTCATGCCCTTTACCAGCAGGGAAGGACATCCAAGCCAGCCAAGGAACCAGATCAGAAGACCCACATCAAGCCCCCACCCACTCAGCTGGGACAACCTCCATATCAGCCGTGGGCCACCTGAGCCCTGCAGGGAAGGGTTGGCCCTGGCTTACACCAAATACAGGGCAGAGATGCCAGACCTGTTCCCAGGGGACTCTGAGCCCTTCCTTCAGCCAGAATAATAGAGCCCAGAGAGCGACCTGCTTCCCCAGGGCAAATGAGCCTCCCTGCCCACTGTATCTGGCACGTGACATGCCCCTGGAGACCCAGGTCACACGTGATGGCAGGAGGCTACGCACTGTGTAAGTTCTCCTGTGGAAAAGGCACTGGCCATCCACTTGAGGTCCAGTGGCTTAAAAGGGACAAGGATGAGGTGGACACCAGGCCAGAGATCCACTGCGCTTTCTGGGTACATGAAGTGATGGGTTGTTTTCATGCCGACATCCACCTCAAAGCCTGTGATCTTTGCTCTGTTCATCCTAGGGAAGGGGTTAAGAGAAGTCGTAAAATGAAGTCACACACCATGCGGGACCATTTGGAGCCTGAGGTGCTGGTCTTGACGGACAAGAACACGGGTCTGTCCTGGCTAGCAAGTGAGGGAAGGAGGCCCAGGCCCACCAGGGTCTGGTATGTGCTTAGGATCTGACTTCATCTTGGTCATCAGGGAAGCAAGGAGCATGACAAGACCTGGACATGGGCCCTCCTGATTACCCAGAGAGCTGGTCCTGCAAGGAGTGATGTGCTGGGCCTCTTCTCACCCTTGCAGGATCAGAATGGGCTGGAGGTCTTCAGATTAAGGCTGTACCCTCCAGATTAAGGATGCTCCAGATTAAGGATATACCCCCTTGCTTGGGGACACAGTGAGTTTGCGTCTGGGCCGAGGCTTTCATGGGGCTGGCCATGGCTTGGGGCTGGCCATGGTCTGCCAGTTTCCCAGAGGGGACCGAGCAGGACCTGGGCTGGGCCAGCCCAGGTGCCCTGGGCACACTCACCTCAGCACCCAGTCATGGGAGTCAATCTGCGGCCCGTGGCGTGATCCTTTCAGCCACCCCGAGTTTCCCACCACAGCACAAGTCCGGCACTGGGCTGGAGCCCACGTGCTGCTGGTCGGGGATGGCAGGATAGTGAAGAGGTGCTGGATGGCGGTCTGGAGCCGGGCTCTGCTCTGGGAGCCCTGCAGCTTCTGGTGGGGCAGAGACAGGTTGGCCTCAGCCCCACAAGCCTTCCCAGAGCTGCCCAGTGGGAGCATGAGCAGTGACAGTTCGACTCCTGCTCAACACTCACCAGCCACCACCGGACAACGTCAGAGGAGAGCTCCTGGGTTTGCACCGTCAGCAGCGGCCCCACAGCTGCATCATAACGAGCGTTAAACCAGGCCGAGCTGTTGATGCTGACAGCGCACTGGGGCTCCAGGCGGGCTCCAAGGAGGAACGGAGACCAGAAGAAAAGGCCAATGCTGGCCATGGGGGCTCGGAAGTACCGCCACAGAAAGAGCACGAGGCACAAGGCCACGAGTGCCCGCTTCCGGCACAGCATCCCTCATGCCACCTGCAGCAAGACATTCCAGGTGGCACCGCAGGAAGGAGCAGGGCCCCTTCCTCCTGCTCAAGCCCCCAGGACCCAGCTAGGATACTGGTCTGTGACAGCCCCAACCTCCCATCCCAGCCTCTATAAATACTAATAATTTTCTTTCAAAAACAGCAAAATGACCCTATGGCCCTGCTGTGCTCTGGCTGGCAGGCAACTGAAATATCCCACTAAGATTTTCATTTCAAGACCATTCAACAGCTTTATTGCTCTGATGATTAAAACACTTGGACAACCAAAACCAGTTGCCATGGCTGGCATCATATGTGCCACTGATCATGTTTGCTGTGCAAGGAGCCACTCTCTGACTTTGAAACTTTAAGCTCTGCACATTGGAAAAAAAAATGTTTTGCAAACAAGTGGTTAAGCATTCAGCCTGGGATGCTCATGCTCGTGCCTGCTAACCCTGAGGTTTTGCTGTTCAGTGGCCACTTAATGTGGGTGGAGAACCAAGAGGGGGTACTTGCTCTGTGTGAGTGCACATGCATCAACTTTTCTTAAATAAACACGTATGAGTGAAGCATTGATCTTCCCCTGCCTCTGGCCCAAATACACTCACATAAAGTTGAAAGCAAAAGGGCTGTCTTGGCCTCACAGAGATCGTAAGTGCTCAGCCTGCCCTTTGCAGTTGAGCGCTGAACGAGGAGCTGGTTCCAGGGGGTCAAGGAGAGACCGAGAGAAGCAAGCGGAACCTCTGCTGCCCTGGGTTCATCAGCAGCTCCACAGCATGTTTGGGCCTCAGCTCTGCATTTGAGAAGCTGCGGGACAGAAAATACCTCTTGTCCTTCATAGGAGTGCTGGGCCTCTCCTCCAGCCCCTTGTCTCCTCCTTTCCTCTCAGGACCCACCTGAACAGGGCACAAAGCTGAAACCCCCTTTGGGCATGAGGCCAGTGCAGACCCAATGCTCACAGAGCCCTCCGAGTCCACTAGGGGATCCCACAGTTAAGGGTTAGGTTCCTTTCTCCACATTAATCATTTTCTGCACCTTCTGCAGCACGACGTACCTGCTGTGCTCGCTGCGGGATCCAACCAGCTTCCCTCAAAAGTGGCCCAGGAGATGCCCGCTCTACTATCAAAGCCACCACTTCGTGCGGTCCCAGCACTGGAGCAAAGAGCAGCAGCAGCAAAAGGAGATGGGAGCAGTTTGAACGGTCCCAGCCCTCCCTCTGGAACCTGCCCTCTGGCAACCTGCCCTTTCAAAACCGGCTGTGTCACTTCTTGTTGAAGCGGAAAAAAGCCACAAGCACAGCGGAAATGCAATCGCTCACACACAGCAAAGCGCTCACCCCCAGGCCCAGCGCAGCAGTGGAGAGCAGGGCTCGGAAGCTCCCCTGCGCTTCTCTTGCTCGTGGCCACAGATTCCTGGCTCAATCTTTTAGCCTCCACTGGCAACCACAAGCTTTTGATGTCATGGAGGCAAAAAGCATGCGCTGGTCGAGTCAGCCATGAGGCGAAGAGCCAGTGGAAAAGACTGTTTTGGGTCCTTAAGGAGCCTCCAGGTCTATTAAACCCAGAGCTGCGGAGACGGGGGCGAGCCAGCTGGCAGCTGCACCGCCAGCGCTGGCGGTTCCATTAAGCCGAGAGCCGGGGGACGAGGGCAGTGTAGTGAATATTGCATGAAGCTTTTTCCAGTTGCCTGAAACCAGGGCGAGGTGTCTGCTCACCACAGGGATCAGGAGGTGCATGGACTGGCACGAGAGCGAACCAAGCGCCTAGACTGACACAGCCTGGAGCGGGACGGGCCCCAAGAAGGAAGACCATCTCGCCCTCTGCTCCCATCCTGCGGCACCGAGGGGGCAGCCCAGCTCTTGCTCGTGGCAGGCACATCCATAGGATGATCACTGCCAGCAGTGCCCGCCGAACCCAACCTGCTCCAAGCAGGAGCTGCTCACATCCCCACAGTGAGGCACCCAAGCAAGATGTGCTCACAGGGTGCCCTTGGGCCAGGAGCCTCGTGGCCATGGGCCGCAGCCACAAGCTCCCTGGCCCCCAGGACCCCCAGCCCAGGGCAGGCAGTCTCCGAGCTGCCTCATGGTCCTCACCTTCTCGGAGGACGCGCCGCAGAGCAGGGCCGGGCGAAGGAGGCGCTTCCAGGCTGGGCAAGAAGGGCTCGACATCTGTGCGCTGCCACCACGCAGAACACACAAGAGCCTCCGCAAGAAGAGGAAGTGCTGCCCCGAGGCAAGGAGGAAATCTGTGCCTCCAGGCTGGCCCCAGTGCTTGTCCCTCCCCGGCATTTCCCATCCTCCTCCCAGCCCGAGACCATGGCCTGAACCCCCTCCCCCGCATCACAGGGCCTCTCAGCACTAAAGAGCAGGGCTGGCCGTGTCCTGCGAGGAGCAGGAGCAGAGCCGGCCATGTCCCGTGAGGAGCAGGGCCGGCCCTATCCTGCGAGCAGCAGGAGCAGGGCCAGCCATGTCCTGTGAGGAGCAGGGCTGGCCGTGTTCCGTGGGGAGCAGACGTCTTTCCTTCTCCTCAGGGCCTGGAGCAGGGCTCAGGGCAGGGCCCAGCCTGGCACCTCGCGGGTGCTGACACGCTTTGCTGCAGGTGCTGCGGGCAGCTGAGGCACAGCCACACTCCAGCCAAGGCCTGGACCTCACAGGTGTCTTTGGCAAACACCACTCTGTCCCAAAAAGAGCCTAGACCATCCTTGTTGGCACCTTTCCCTCATTCAAACTTGCTTTGGCCCCAAGACCTCAGCAGAGAGGAGTCCCACAGCACATGGACAGGGGTTCTCCAGCTAAGCTGGCACAGCCATATGGTGTCTGCAACGCATTGCTGAGACCCAGCCACAGGCAGGCCCGACACAGCCACCCACTGACAGGAGGGAGCACCTCTGCATCACAGCCAGCCCCTCCAGCCCATGGCCACCCTGGCTCTATGTCCTGACAGTGTCAGCACCAAGAACTGTCCCTGCCCAGGAAAAAAGCCACCGAGCAGACAAAAAACTAGTCCAGCACAATGACAGGAACAAAAAAATAACGAAGTTCCCAGTTCTTCAGTCAGGCAATTCAACATAAAAATGTCGCTCTGAAGATAGGAGAAACTGCCTGGTGTGACTCTCCTCGCAATATGTCATGGTGGTACAATTCACTCTACGGAGGGGAATACCAGCGACATGGGGATCTTGAGAGCCTTGACCACCCAGGCAGCTTTTTTTGACTGGATTTTGACTCTGAAATGGTCAGAAGAAGTATGTGGTGTCATTCAAAACCTGGAAAATTACATCCCATGGAAAAAAAATCCATGCAAGCAAACTGAGTAGTTCTATCCTGAAGGGAGGTTGTGCCTCGTGGGCTGCTCACTCTAATGTCTGAGATGAGGTTTGGTGCGTGAAAGACAGTGGCAAATAGAAAGGAGGCTGCAAACACAAACTAGAACAGTCCTGCAAAGCACAGAGTACTAAGCAGCTAATATTTATTAATGATGGCCCAGGGAGCCTCTCCAGCTGTCCTCCAGGTCTAGGCACTGATGGAGCATTTCCCTGAGGTGCTACAGAGCAGATTTTCTGGAGCACTGGGTCCAGAAACCTGGATGGGAAGAATGAAGAGCAGCACAAACGCTACGTGATGCTGACTCCACAGGACTTGCTTGCATTTGCCCAGTGTGGAGTTGCTAACACACTCGGTCCTCAGCGAGGCTGCTGCCCCCCAGGAGTATTTCTCAGGGGGTTGCAAGCCAGGCTGCAGGGCAGTGGCACGGCTCTGCTCCGTTGTGTTTCCATTAGTACTATCAGAGCAGAGAAGCGCTGCAGGACATGCAGCACGGACACGGACACGGTGAGGCAGGAAGTTTCTTTGCCTTGCAGCTGAATGTGGAGGCAGGTGACAGAAGTGACAGCAGATTCTAGGAAGGCTGTGTCCTGCATGGGGATGTGGATGGGTTCAGGTGGTGGTGATGGCTGGGCTGAGACCTGGAACATGGCTGTGGAGCACACAGCTTGCTTCAAGCTCTCCTGTTGGCTATTCAGAGTTTGCTAGCAGCCATCACACACACAGGCAAGTCCTTAAGGCCTTAGGACCGTTTAAATTGACATTATGTGGAGTGCTGGGCCCTGGCCAGCACTGCTGGCAAGAGAAGCATCTTTTGTGACAGCCTGGAATTGCAGGCCACGGAGAAGAACAGACACATGGGCAGCAGACAAGACGGAGGCAGGTTGGAGTAAGCCAGTGCTCCTGCCTTTCTTATCCCCGGGAGCCCTCTGCAGACAGCATGTGGGAGAGCTGCATTTTATGCATCTGATCAGATCTTTCCTCCTCACGTGAAGCAGCTCCTATTCATTGAGGATATGAACAAATGAAGCTGGGAAGACACCGCATCTATGAGGCTGTCCTTCAATCCACCCTTTCTGTGGGGAGAAAAGAATGAAAAGAAGCCATGAATACGGCACAAGGTTTGCAAGGCAAGTGAAACTAGCTGAAAACAGCTCCATCTAGTTGCTCAAATAGCCCTGCCTCCAGGCAGGAATATCCAGGCAAACACTTGGCCTCATGCGAGTCAGGCCCCCATCAAGGTGGGTCCAATAGTCCTACAAAGGAAAATCTTCAGAGATCCCCAGCTCTGTGGCCGGTTACTCTTCCATAAGTGTCTGGCAAGGCAGTTCGGCATGCAACTTTGATATAGGGTGGGCAGGATAGAAGCCGGGACTAGAGGTCCTCTCTGCACCATCTGAGTGAGACAGGTGTCTAGTTTGCTGCACGCTCAGTCCTTAGAGGTTATTCTTGCCCTTCGGAGCCACAGATGAATAAAGCAATTGCAAAACTCCTTGAGCATCATAACCAGAAATAAGCCAGAGCAGTGGTTGACAGGACTGAATCCAAGTGCCCAACAGGATGCTGTGGCTACTGGAAGAAACGGAGGAGTGAGTGGAGAGAAAAGTCATACAGGATGAGGGGGAAAGCTGCACCTGCACACAGCACTGAGACCACTCCTGGCAGCTCGGCAGCTGTTAATGCCAGGGCTGAGGACCCGCCTTCCTTGGAGAGAGCCAAAAATAGATGATGAATGGTATCCAATGCCCCTGAAGAGGGTGGCTGGCTGGGGTGGGCAAGCAAACTGCCATGCGTGAGGAGAACGGCCAGGCCGTGAGCAATGGCAGGCAAATATAGCGGCATCTGTCCAGACTGTGGATGATGAAAACAGTGGAACATAGTGTCTGCGCAGGGAGCAGGTTGCCCAGGTACAGCTAGGAGTTTGTGCCAGAGGATAGAAGAAAGATAGAAGATGGAAGGCAGAGAGGTGCAACATGTATGAGACAAAGCAAGAGATGGATGGGGAGGGGAGACAATCAGATGCAAATCCCAGAGCCACTCCGCACATGCAGGTTCACTCACCCACCAGTTGCTGTCCTCCTTTTCAGACACCACAATGATCTCGCCTGTACGGAAAGTCAGCTCATCTTCCCGGTCAGCAGTGCAATCATAGAGAGCTCGGACCCTGCGGAGCAGCAGTCTGTTCTGCAAGCAGGAGACGGACATCATTAAGACAAATCTGCCACCAGCTTCATTCAAAATACCTTCTGTGTCTTGATCACAAGGTCCTTGATCTAGGGCCCCAGTCACCTCGCAGCAGCTCTGCTTGAACGTAGTGAGTGCTGCTGAGCCAACCCTGACACCAAGCAACGCAAACAAGCTCCCGCTAACTGGCTTTGCATCCTAGTGTTAGCAGGCAGAAGGATGTCACCAGCGCCACAGAGAGGCAAAGCCAGTGCATACAGAGATACTTCCTCCAAGTCCAAAAGCACAACCTGAACTCATCCACATGTCTTTTCTCCAAAGAGTCTGCAGGGATTTCAGCTAGTAGTAAATAACAGCAATCTCCACAGGTCTAACGTTTACTAGGAGGGCCTAGCCATGTCTGTGCCTTCCCATCACTTAGCTAAGACCTGTCAGTGCTGCAGGGTCATGGGAGAAGTGGTAGGAAGAGAGTTAACTAGGTCAGACTCCAGCTCATTTCAGACAGAGGTGATAAATCTGGGCAAACATAGGAACTGAGTCGAGCAGACCCTGGCTGCTGACCACCTACCAGACTGCTCCTCCGAGGAAGAGGGGGTGGAGACTCCTCAGCATGCACAGAACACAGATCTGGCTCCTGGAGAGACTGCTGTGGACCGGCTTGTCCCACTTTCCCAGGACCAGGTATGCAAAAGGAGCCTGTTGTTTTCAGGGTGCCTAAGATGTAAGCAAACTGGTCATGACCTCCCACCTTTCACCACAGGATGAACAACAGCAAGCACCACCTCTGGGCATGGCCCTGCTTCATGGCACAGCATGCCCAACAAACACCCCCATCAGACTGGGAGCTGGAAAGGAAGCAGTGAGCAAAAGGCCTGGGAAAGGCGCAGAGAGGGGCAGCGGG